GGGGGTGCTGACTCTGGGGGTGCTGCGACTGGGGGTGCTGAGCCTGGGGGTGCTGAGCCTGGGGGTGCTACGACTGGGGGTGCTGAGCCTGGGGGTGCTACGACTGGGGGTGCTGAGCCTGGGGGTCCTTCGCCAGGGGTTGCTGCGTCTGGAGCTGCTGAGCCTGGGGGTGCTGAGTCTGGAGCTCTTGAGCCTGGGGGTGCGGAGCCCGCGGCCGCTGGACCTGCTCGTGTGGCGTCTGGCGGTGCTGGGCCTGGTGGTTCTCCAGGTGCTTCGTCTCGGCGGGAGCCACTCTCTCCACAGGAGCTGCGCGAGTGGTTTGCCCGGCGTTGGAGGCGTACTACTGGAGCTGGTGCTTCTTCGGCTGCTGAGGGTGCTGGTGCCACCGGTCTCGGAGGTGCTAGTCCTGCGAGTACTACTGGAGTCGGAGCTGCTGAGGGTGTTGGCGCTGAGGCTACTGCTGTCAGTCCTGGCAGCGGTCCTGCTGCGGGTGCTGCTGGTGCTGCTGGAGGTGCTGGAGCTGGAGGTGCTGTTGACGCTGGTGCTGCCGCTGGGGGTGCTGGTGCTGTCCCTACTGTGTCTGGAGTCGCCGCGCGGCCTCGGCCGTACTTTGTTCCGCTCCTTCAGCAGGTTCTTGGTCTTCCTCCTCCCTTAGAGTGTCCACCGCTTGTCCAGTCGCAGTCACAGTTACCGCTGGCCTCCCCACTGCCTTCTCCTTCTCCGTACACTGGTCCTACTGGAGGTCTTGCTGAGCGTCGTGAGCCTGCGTCTCGTCCTGCGTCGCCTGTTCGTGCTGCTCGCACTAGTGGTCGCAGTTCGCGGCAGCGTCCTCCTCTTGTCCCTGGCACGCACCGGATGTCTCTGCGTCCGTCCACTGCTCCTCTGCGTGCCCCTTTGCCTTCTCCTCCTGAGTCCTCTCTCCCTGCACTTGCCGACCCGGAGTCGGACTCTCTTCGTGCTGCCAGTCCTACTGTCACGCGTCTCCTTGCTACTGTTGTCACTGACCCCTCCTTTGAGTCCACTGCTGCGTCTGCTCTTGTTGCTGAGCTCGTCGACTTTGCTGCTCGCTGTCGTCTAGACTACGCTGCTAGTCTTGTTGTTGAGTCTGCGTGTGTCTGTCCTCCGTCCGTCGGGGGTGAGTGTGCTCTTGGCACGGACGTCCTTGAGGACAGGAAGGAGGAGTTCCAGTGTCTGGCTGCTGCTTCACCTCATCTCGCGTCCGTACTGCTTACCCCTGAGGGAGACCCGGATGCACTAGACATCCCGACTCCGCGCTCTTACGCGGAGGCCGTAGAGGGTCCCTACTTCTCTCAGTGGCAGGCAGCTATGGATGCAGAGATGGCTTCCTGGAAGTCCACAGGCACCTACGTTGACGCGGTTCCCCCTCCTAGGGCGAACATCGTCAGTGGCATGTGGATCTTCAGGGTGAAGCGGCCGCCGGGCTCTCCACCTGTCTTCAAGGCGCGGTACGTGGCTCGTGGCTTCAGTCAGCGGCAGGGAGTTGACTACTTTCAGACCTTCTCTCCCACCCCAAAGATGACCACTCTTCGGGTGCTGCTGCACATAGCCGCTCAGCGTGACTACGAGCTTCACTCCCTTGACTTCAGCACTGCTTTCTTGCAGGGTAGCCTGCACGAGGAGATCTGGTTGCGCCGTCCACCTGGCTTCACTGGGACTTTCCCTCCTGGCACCCAGTGGAGCCTCCGAGGGCCAGTCTACGGTCTCCGCCAGGCATCGCGCGAGTGGCACGACACACTGAGGACTACACTTGCGGCTCTTGGGTTTGCTCCCTCTACTGCTGACCCGTCGCTGTTTCTACGCACCGACACCTCTCTGCCGCCGTTCTACATCCTCGTGTACGTCGACGACTTGGTCTTTGCCACAGCTGACACTGCTGGACTCGCCCACGTGAAGTCCGAGCTGCAGAAGAGACACACGTGCACAGACCTGTGTGAACTGCGCAGCTACCTTGGCTTGCAGATCACCCGGGACAGAGCACGCCGCACCATTACCCTGACTCAGTCACACATGGTGCAGCAGGTCCTTCAGCGCTTCGACTTCACGTACTCCTCGCCTCAGGCCACTCCTCTGCCTACTCGCCACTCGCTCTCAGCTCTGCCTTCGGATGAGTCCGTAGAGTCGAGTGGCCCGTACCCGGAGCTTGTTGGCTGCCTCATGTACCTGATGACCTGCACACGACCTGACCTTGCATACCCTCTTAGCATTCTTGCACGCTATGTTGCTCCTGGGAGACACAGACCAGAGCACATGGCTGCAGCGAAGAGGGTGTTGCGCTACTTGTGCAGTACGTCGCGCATGGGGCTAGTGCTTGGAGGGCGGAGTCCAGTGGTCCTCACTCGGCACGCGGACGCTTCTTGGGCAGACGACCAGGCTACGCAGCGGTCGTCACAGGGTTACACCTTCAGCCTTGGTTCCGGCTCTGTTTCGTGGCGGGCTACTCGCTCGTCTTCTGTTCTCGGCTCCAGTTGTGAGGCTGAGATCTACGCAGGGGCCATGGCTGCACAGGAGCTTCGCTGGCTTACCTACCTGCTGACTGACCTCGGAGAGCCGCCTCGTTCTCCTCCGGTGCTGTACGTAGACAACAAGGCCATGCTAGCCTTGTGTCGGGAGCAGCGCCTGGAGCACAGAACGAAGCACATTGCTCTCCGCTACTTTCTTGCTCGTGAGTTGCAGCAGCGTGGTCAGTTGCGACTTGCGTACGTGGCCTCTGAGGCCAACACTGCTGATGTTTTCACCAAGGCACTTCCGCCTTGTGATCATCAGCGCTTCTGCACTCAGCTGGGTCTTGTGCCTATCTTGCCTCACTTGCTCACCCCTTGACCTTGCTTGTACTCTTACATATATATATATACCTGCTCTTGCTTGTTTAGCTTTATATATATATGTGTACTCCTGCATGTGAACTGGCCTTGTGGCCTTGACCTTGTGCTCGGACTGTGTGGTGACGTTGTGATCCACCCTGAGCTTTGTCTGCTTTGCTTGACTGGTCTTGTGACCCCTTGTTCTCCCCCACTTTGCCTATGGGGGTGTGACAAATTATAATATTGTGTAGGCTATAGTGGGGTAGCCCATATGGGGTACACATTTCTAGGGTTGCATATTTGTATCACTTCCATTCCTTAGTCATTCATTCTCGTTCTACTTTTCTCACAACCAAGTCGGTCAGCAGGTAGGTCAGCCAGCGTAACTCCTCTGCAGCCATGGCCACAGCGTAGATCTTGGCCTCACAGGTGGAACCAAGTACAGAAGACGAACAAGTGGACCTCCACGAGACAAAACCAGGGCCGAGACAGAAAGAGTAACCCTTGGACAACCGCTGAGTCGCCTTGTCGTCCGCCCAAGAAGCGTCAGAGTGTTCTGTGAGTACCACTGAACCCAGTCCTCCAAGCACGAGATCCATGCTCGCTGTACTGCACATGTAACGCAGTACCCTCCTAGTAGCCCGCCAATGCTTTGGTCGGTGTCTCTCGGGCGCAACGTAGCATGCCAGGATGCTGAGAGGGTACACGAGGTCAGGTCGAGTGCACGTCATCATGCACATGAGGCAGCCCGCAAGCTTTGGATAATGACCACTCGGCTCTACGGACTCGTCTGAAGGTGGAGCTGAGAGCGAGTGGCCTGTAGGCAGAGGAGTGGACAGTGGCGAGGAGAACTCGAAGCCGAAGCCCTGAAGGACCTGCTGCACCATGTGTGACTGCGTCACGGTGATGCTGAGCCGTGCTTTGTCTCGGATGATCTGCAAGCCAAGATAGCTACGTAGCTCACCCAGCTCAGTAGAGGTGTGTCTCTTCTGCAACTCCGACTTCATAAGGGTCAGTGCCTTAGTCTTGGTAGTAGCAAAAACCAAGTCGTCGACGTACACGAGGATAAAGAACGGCGGCAGAGCTGGGTCGGTACGCAGAAACAGCGACGGGTTAACAGTCGAAGGAGCAAACCCAAGAGCCGCAAGTGTCGTCCTCAGTGTGTCGTGCCACTTGCGGGGCGCCTGGCAGAGACCGTAGACTGGCTGACGGAGGCTCCACTAGGTACCCTCAGGAAACGACCCAGTGAAGCTAGGTGGGCAGTGCAGCCATATCTCCTTGTGAAGGCTGCCCTACAAGAATGCTGTGGAGAAGTTGAGGGAGTGCAGCCCGTAGTCACGCTGTGCTGCAACGTGCAGTAACACATGAAGAATAGTTATCTTCGGGGCGGGGGAGAAGGTCTTGAAAAAGTCGACCCCCTGTCACTGACTGAAACCTCAAACAACGTAACGCGCCTTGAAGGCAGGCGGAGAACCCGGCGGCCGCTTCACTATGAAAATCCACATGTTATCTAATACCGTATTCTCCCGGACAAAACACCATGGGGTATAGCTAAAAATACAGGGAAAAAATGGGGGGGGGGGGGGGGGGGGGAAGGGTCTCCTCGTAGGAAAAGCTACACAATACCCGGGTGGATATATATGGCATATTTTAGTGTTAGAGTTTTTTTAATTAGACAAAATGGGTGTTTTGATGGTTGTTTTAACATCAGTGTCTGAGGTGCAAATGTAATTTTCGGCCACAAATTTCATCACCCCCCTCAAACATGTCATGTGGCACCTCTCTGGCCACTTGTAGCGGAAGATTCACCAGCGCATAGCGACAGCGAAATAGTGGAAGGGGGGAAATCTCGGCAGATTCTAAATGAAAGTACCGCAAAATTTCATCGAGGGAGAGATTCTGGCGATATCCTTTCGTATTGCACCTACTCGTTAACGACTATAATAAGGAATTCATAAGAAAACGGGGGTGTAATAGAAAATCAACCAAAAAGGGGGTATAATACAAACGAGGTCGCTCATAGCACCCACCCCGCACAAACTACCCGGGGGGTGTACATTTTCGGCGGATGTTTTGTTCGGGAGAATACAGTATGTTCGCCCCAAGACGGGGAACCTCGTCGACTTAGTTGCCTGTGGACTTCCAGGAAGCCATCTCTGTGTCCATGACCGTCTGCCACTAAGAGGAGTACTCACTCGTGATCGCCTTTGCGGAACAGCGAGGGGTAGAGATATCAAGTGCATCCGGGTCTTCCTTAGGGCAAACCAACATGGACGCGAGATGAGGTGAAACGGCCGCGAGGCACTCAAGCTCAAAATGCATATCCTTATGGACGTCATTGCCAAGGGCAAGCTCACCCCCGACGGACGGAGGATAGTCGGACTCAGACTCAGTATCAAGACTCGCGAAGTAGTCGAGACGACAGGTAGCAGCCAAGTCAACGAGCTCAGTAACTAAGGCAGTCGCAGCAGCAGACTCAAAGGAAGGTTCGGTGACAAGCATTGCCAAGAAGCGCGTGACAGTAGGACTAGAAGCATGTGCAAGGTCGGACTCGGGGTCAGGAACGTCAGGAAGAAAGGACGCCGGAGGAGATGGCAGAGCAACACGCTGTGGAATAGAGAAAGGATAAAGTGCCATAGTGTGCTTGCCGGGGACAAGTGGAGGACGAGGACAACGAGCACGAATAACAGTGCGAACAGGTGAGGCAGGACGAGACTCAGGCTCACGACGCTCTGCCAGGTAGCCTGTCTGCGCAGGGTAGGGAGAAGGAGTAGGCAGTGGAGAGACAGGCAGTAACTGTGGCTGTGAATGGACAGGCGGAGGACACAGGAAGGGCGGAGCAAGGCCAGTGGAAGACGGAAGACTAAGAACCTGATAAAGTGCCGAGTCAGGCAGCGGCCGTAGTGATGATTGCGGCTGCGGGTAGAAAAACGGTCGGCGCGGCGCAGTACCCATCGTACCAGAGCCTCGAGCTCCAGCACCTTCAGCTTCAGAACCTCCAGCACCTCCAGCTCCAGCACCTCCAGTAACAGTACCTCCAAAACCTCTAGCTCCGGCACCTCTAGCACCAGTAGCTCCAATACCTCCAACACGAGTAGCTCCACTACCTCCAGCATCTCCAGCTCCAGCACCTCTAGCACAAGTAGCTCCAGTACCTCTAGCACAAGCAGCTCTAGTACCTCCAGTACCTCTAGCTCCAGAAGTATGAGAACCTCCTGCTCTAGTAGTACCAGCACATCCAGCTCCACCACCGGGGCTGCCCAACTGGACAGCCCATTTGCGAAACCGCTCTGGTGAGAGAGTCTCCTGTAGACGTTCACATGTACTTCCTGCCAACATATATTTTATATGTGTTGTTTAGGTCAGTCTAGGTGTTACATTTCTATTTCGTTGCAAGATAATGGTTTGCTATATCTTCCTTGTTTTATCATTCCTTACTCAATTCTTATAGTTTCGTAACTTGAGATGGTACAGAGCGATAAAAGATCCCATGGGCCCACCACCTCGTAACTTGTCCTACCCCGAAGCGCCCTAGTTTGAAGCACCCTAGTCCGAAGCGCCCTAGCCCAAAGCGCCCTTGCCCGTAGCGTCCCATCAACTTGTGGCTCGTAGTGCCCCGTACCCCGCGCGCCACCCGTTTTCCCCGTCGCCTCACCCGTCAGATTCGTCACGGTGTTACCCCCCCCCCCCCCCCCCCCCCCCCCCCCCCCCCCCCCCCGCCCCCCCCCCCACCCACCCGCCACCGTCGCGCCCTGCCCGTTTTCCCCCATCCATCCCAAAACATTTGGCCCGGGGGTTGGTGTACCAAACCATGGAGTGGATACTTGGTACACACATCTGCGGTGTGTGTTGACTATAGTGTATGAATATGCAAAATATTTGGCTACCCTAGAATGAACTACGCTTGCGGAACCTATTTTGCTATGCAGTCACATGAATGTGCATGAGACGAGGTGACGACTAGTGTAAGAATAGTACGAATGAATGAATGAACTAGGAAGCAGGTGGGTACAAGTAGGAAAACCTAAAAGTGTTGTACCCCATATTGTCTACCCCGCTACAGCCTACACAGACTATAGCAATTAAGTTTGACACACCCCCATAGGCAAAGTGGGGGAGAACAAGAGATCAAAAGACCAGACAAGAAGAGCAAAGCAAGCTCAAGGTGGATCACGACGTCACCACGCATACTGAGGACAAGCAAATGGCCACAAGGCCAGTTCAAGCAAGCGACCTAGCAAGTGTAAGCATGCAGGTATATATATAGAGATCACAGTACAAGCAAAGTCAACAAGTGAGCAAGTGAGGCCAAGTGGGCACAAGGCCTAGAACAGTACAGAACCGCTGATGATCACAAGGCTGAAGTGCGTTGGTGAAGATATCAGCAGTGATGGCCTGAGAGGCCACGTAAACAAGACGAAGCTGACCATGCTGTTGTAACTCTCGAGCAAGGAAGTAGCGAAGAGCGATGTGCTTCGTTCTGTGCTCCATTCCCTGCTCGCGACACAAGGCAAGCATTGCCTTGTTGTTGACGTACAGAACTGGAGGAGATCGAGGCACCTCTCCCAAGTCGGTCAGCAAGTAGGTGAGCCAGCATAACTCCTGTGCAGCCATGGCCCCTACGTAGATCTGAGCCTCACAACTGGAGCTGAGAACAGAAGACGAGCAGGTAGACCGCCACGAAATAGAATCGGAGCCAAGACTGAAGGTGTAACCCTGTGACGACCGCTGCGTAGCCTGGTCGTCAGCCCAAGAAGCGTCTGCGTAACCAGTGAGGACAACTCGACCCCGTCCTCCAAGCACGAGCCCCATGCCCGATGTACTGCACAAGTAGCGCATCACCCTCTTAGCTGCCTTCCAGTGCTCTGGCCGGTGTCTCCCAGGCGCAATGTAGCGTGCCAAGATGCTAAGAGGGTAAGCAAGGTCAGGACGAGTGCAGGTCACCAGGTACATGAGGCAGCCCACAAGCTCTGGATATGGGCCACTCGGCTCTACGGACTCATCCGAAGGCAGAGCTGAGAGCGAGTGACCGGTAGGCAGAGGAGTGGACTGAGTACTGGAAGACGAAGCGCTGAAGGACCTGCTGCACCATGTGTGACTGAGTCAGGGTGATGGTGTGGCATGCTTTGTCCCGAGTGATCTGCAAGCCAAGATAGCTGCGCAGCTCACCGAGGTCTGTGCACGTGTGTCTCTTCTGCAGCTCCGACTTCACTAGAGTCAGTGCCTTAGTGTCAGCAGTGGCAAAGACCAAGTCGTCGACGTACACAAGGATGTAGAACGGCGGCAGCGAAGTGTCGGTGCGTAGAAACAACGACGGGTCAGCAGTAGGAGCAAACCCAAGAGCCGCAAGAGTCGTCCTCAGTGTGTCGTGCCACTCGCAAGGAGCTTGGCGGAGACCGTAGACTGGCCGTTAGAGGCTCTACTAGGTACCAGGAGGGAACGACGCAGTGAAGCCAGGTGGGCGGCGCAGCCAGATCTCCTCGTGCAGGCTGCCCTGTAGGAAGGCTGTGTTGAAGTCAAGAAAGTGGAGCTCGTAGTCACGCTGAGCGGCGACGTGCAGCAGCACCCAAAGAGTGGTCATCTTTGGGGTAGGGGAGAAGGTCTGAAAGTAGTCAACTCCCTATCGCTGACTGAAGCCTCGAGCAACGTAACGCGCCTTGAAGACAGGCGGAGAGCCCGGCGGCCGCTTCACCGTGAAAATCCACATGCCATCGACAATGTTCGCCCGAGGTGGGGGAACCTCGTCAATGTAAGTGCCTGTGGACTTCCAGGAAGCCATCTCTGCGTCCATGGCTATCTGCCACTAAGAGGAGTAGGGACCCTCTATCACCTCTGCGTGAGAGCGCGGGGTGGGGATGTCTGGTGCGTCCAGGTCACCCGCAGGGGCAAGTAGCATGAACACGAGATGAGGTAAAGCAGCAACATAACACTAGAACTCCTCTGCTTGTCCTCAAGGATATCTGTGCCAAGGGCACACTCACCCCCGACGGCCGGAGGACAGATAGACTCAGACTCAGCAACAATACTAGCGGGGTTGTCTAGACGAGCAGCACAGTTGACAAGCTCAGCAACGAAGGCGGACGCAGCTGTGGACTCAAAGGAAGGGTTAGTGACAATAGTGGCCAGGATACGCGTGATAGTAGGACTAGCAGCACGAAGGGAGTCAGACTCCGGGTCCGGACCGTCTGCAAGGGAGGACGCAGGAGGAGACGGCAGAGGGACATGTTGTGGAGCTGTGGAAGGACGCAGTGCCATCTAGTGCGTGCTGGGGACAGGAGAAGTTACACGACGACTAGTGCGAGCAGCGCAATCAGGCGATGCAGGGCAAGACGGAGGCTCACGACACTCAGCAAGACCTCCGGTCGGACTAGTGTAAGGGAAGTAGCAGGCAGTGGGGAGGCTGGCTGTAAATACGACTAGGACCGGACAGGCGGTGGACACTCTAAGGGAGGAGTAGGACCAGTAGAAGGTGGGAGACCAAGAACCTGCTGAAGAAGTGGAACGAAGTACAGCCACGGCCGTGCAGCACCACCAGAACCATCAGAGAGACCTCTAGCACCTCCAGCTCCAAGGTCTCCAGCTCCAACTCTTGCAGCACCACTAGCTCCAGCATCAGAAGCACCACCAGTAGAAACAGCTCCAGCGCCTCCAGCTCCAACTCCTGCAGTACCACTAGCTCCTGCACCAGCAGCACCTCCAGCATGAACAACTCCAATAGCTCCGGCTCCAACTCCAGCGGAACCACCAGCTCCAGCGGCTCCAGTACCTCCAGCAGCAGCAGCTCCAGCACATCCTGCTCCAGGGCCACCCGCGGTAGGCTCCTCAGCCGCAGCAGCTCTGCCCTGACACCTCCAGCAGCGAGCAAACCACTCTCGTAGCTGCTATGGAGAGAGAGGCTCCTGCCGAGACGAGGCCCCTGCAGAACCTCGAGCAAACTCATCACCCCCCTTCTCAGCAACCGCAGGCTCGACACCCCTAGGCTCAGCACCCCCTCACTCCACACGCTCAGGCTCAGCACTCTCAGGCGCCGTACCCCCAAGCTCAGCACCCCCAGACCCAACACGCTCAGGCTCAGAACCCCCAGGCTCCGCACGCTCAAGCTCAGCACCCCCAGGCGCAGCACCCCCACGCACACCACCCCCAGGCTCCGCATGCGCAGGCTCATCACCCCCAGCAGCACCAGAGTCAACAGCTACCTCAACAGGCTCCCCCGGGTCTACCTGAGACACACATGAGGAAGCAGGACTGTGAGGGGGGAGGGGGTCTACCGGGGGAGGACCTGGTGCAAGGAAGAGCGGCGGGGGGGGGGGGGGGGGGGAGAGGGGCAGCGCGGTAAGGGAAGAGACGGTAAAAGGGAACCAACTCATCGAACGTGACGTCATGAGAGGGCAGAACTCGGCGCGAGGTGGGGTGGTAAAACTGCCAGCCAGGCGCGTCAGGGACAAAGCCAAGGAAGACGCAGGGAATAGCACGGGCGGAGAGCTTGTCCGCAGTGGTATCGCGGACAAAGGTACGAGAACCCCAGACCCGGAACACCGATGCATCGCCAACCTTCCCCGTCCACCGCAATGTGGGCGAGGTCTCCGGCAAGGAGACACGGGGCCAGAGGTTGAGTTGATATGCAACGTAGCGGACCACAAACGGCTACAGAAAATGGGGGGCAGCGGCATGGACCATGGAGGTACGAGCTACCTCCATGACCAAGCCAATGCGGCGCTCAGCAACCCCATTTTGCTGCGGAGAAACCAGAAGCGTGAACGTCTGGCGAATGCCCTCCCCACGACAAAAGCTGTATAGAAGGTCAGAGAAAAACTCTCCAACTCTGTCAGAGTGCAGACCAGGACGGAAACTCCGTCCCGAACCGCTCGCGGAGCTGGAGATGGGCAGCGCGGATCCAAGGGATCAAAACATCAGGGACCCCACCCTTGGTCGCAAGGGGAAGACCGTGGTGTAGCGCGAGTAGTCGTCAACAACCAGCAGGAAGTACCGCTCATTGTCCTGCCCACGGACGTGGGCTAGGCCCCACACGTCCATGTGTAGGGTCTGCAGGGGAGTAGTCATCGGGGGGAACGAGGAGGAGTGAGGAGCAGCACTCTGACGCCCCTCGACACAGGGAAGGCAGGGAGGGGCAGGGGAGGGTGGGAGAGGAGGCAGAGTCTTTGGAAGGCCAGAGACCAGGAGACGGCGGTGCATGGCACGAAGGCACTGCACCGAGGGGTGACCAAGACGATGGTGCCAAAGAAGGGTCGGGTGCAACAGAGCCCGACACGAGCAGGGGGCAGCTAGCTGACCAGACGCGGACGCAGGACGCAGTACTCAGTGTGTACAGGCTCGAGCCAGGCGCACGGGTGAACGAGGCCAGGTGTCGACCAGTCCGGGAGCAAGTGCAGTGGGTCACCCGCTGACCTCCAGGAGTGAACTGGCCAAGCCACACATCCTGGAGATCAGCGCCACTCACGAAGTTCGTAGAGAACGAGGGGAGGTGGAGACCTGACAGTGAGCTAGACGGGACTGTAGGACACGGTAGAACCGTGGAAGAGTGTGCAACTAGGCCCCCAGAGGGGTCCGCCAGGGAGACTGCAACTGGCCAACTGAGCGAGTGAGAGTGGTGCAGTCACGAAAGAAGGAGCGAGAACCACCTGAGTCAAGAGTGAAGGTTTGCAAGGCCTCTGTAGGCGCAGTGCTTGAGAGAGCAAACTCACCAGTACCTAAAGCAGTTGACTCACTAGCACCTGGAGCGGCAGACTTATTGGCACCTAGAGCAGCAGCCCCAATGTCCGGGTCGGGCGGAACACACAAGTAATAGTCACCCTCAGCACTAATAGTAACAGCATACATGGCAGAAAGGATCGCATCATAGTCAAGAGCAAAGACATCAACACGAGACCTAAGCAGATCACCCCAGTGAGGGAGCTCAGTGGCGTCAGGAAACTATGTGCGCCAGGCGTAAGCCAGGCGACCGAAACAGCCAGGTGTCAGAACATTATAGGGTACAACCCAATTAGGGTTAGTACTTGTACCCAACTGTTTCATAGTTCAATCATTTCTCTTTTTCTAATCTTCACATGGTATAGAGCTGGTTCCCTCGTGGGAACTATTCCTAGGGCCCACCCCACTGATTTCATTTCCTGCCCGGAGCACGCTTGGCCCCTGCCCGAGTCGCGCCCCGTGTCGTTCCCCCTTGCGGCCTCTTTTACGGCCCCTAACGGCCTCGTCGCGCCGCCCTTGCGGCCCCGTCGCGCCGCCCTTGCGGCCCCGTCGCGCCACCCTTGCGGCCCCGTCGCGCCGCCCTTGCGGCCCTGTCGCGCCGCCCTTGCGGCCTCCTCGCGCCGCCCCTTACTGCGGCCCCGTTGCCGCCCTTTCAGCGGCCCCGTCGCCGCCCTTTCAGCGGCCCCGTCGCCGGCCTTCCGCGGCCGCGTCGCCGCCCTTCCACGGCCTCGCCGCCCGCCCTTGCAGCGGCTCCGTAGCAGCCCATCTGCGACCCCGTCGCCGCCCTCCAGCGGCCCCGTCGCTGCCCTTCCACGGCCCCGTCGCCGCCCTTTCAACGGCCCCGTCGCCGCCCTTTCAGCGGCTCCGTCGCCGCCCGCTCTTTCAGCAGCCCCGTCGTCGCCCTTCAGCGGCCCCGTCGCCGCCCTTGCAGCGGCCCCGTAGCCGCCCTTCTGCGGCTCCGTCGCCGCCCTCCAGCGGCTCGTCGCCGCCCTTCCACGGCCCCGTCGCGGCCCTTTCAGCGGCGCGTCGCCGCCCTTTCAGCGGCCCCGTTGCCGCCCGCCCTTCCACGGCCCCGTCGCCGCTCAGCCGCCCAGCGCCTGAGCCACCGAGCAGCCCAGCCACCGAGCAGCCCAGCCGCTGAGCAGCCAAACCGCCGAGCAGCCAAGCCGCCGAGCAGCCGAGGCGCCCGACCGTTGAGCCGCCCAGCAACCGAGCCGCCCGACCGCCGAGCCGCCCAGCAGCCGAGCCGCCGAGCAGCCGAGCCGCCGACCACCGAGTCGCCCTGCAGTCGAGCCGCCAGAACGCCAAGCCGCCCAGCAGCCGAGCCGCCGAGCCGCACCGCAGCCGAAGCGCTGCCGTCTGTCGGCCTGCCCGGGACCGCCCCACTTGCCTGGTAAGAGTAGCGCCTCTGCCACTACACTGCCCTGCCCCAATGTACTCACTACCTGTCTACTACTGTCATGGCCTCCCCTAGTGTTCTCACCTTTGATGCTGAGGGTCAGGCAGTTGACTTTAAGGTCTGAGTAGATGATCTGCAGCTTTTCCTCCAGTGCGATAGGGCAGACGGTCTCTCCCTGTTTGACGTCACTTCTGGTGCCTCTCCTGCCCCTGCTGCTGATGCTGGCGCCAATAATCGCTCACAGTGGGCCACGCGTGATGCTGATGCTCGCCTTGCTGTGCGCCGCCACTTACCGACCACTGAGCGTACACACTTTAGCCAGTACAAGAGTGCTCAGACCTTGTACGACGCTATAGTTGCACGCTACTTTTCCCGTGCCACTGCTGCACTGAGCCGCCTCATGCTACAGTACCTCTTCCTTGACCTTACTTCCTTTCCCACAGTCGTTGACCTCATTACGCACCTCCGCACTAGTGACACTTGCTACCGCACTGCGCTTCCTGCAGAGTTCTGCGCCAAGAACCCCCCCCCCCATGTACATCACCCTCTACTACATAGTCTCCCGGCTCCCTGACTCTCTCCGCGTAGTCAGGGACCACTTCCTCTCAGTTTGCCCCACCACTCTCACCGTTGACCTCTTCGAGAAGACCCTCCTAGCGGCAGAGAAGAGCAAAGTCGCTGTAGGAGCCTCTCGTGGTGACCCTTGCACCCCCGTCTTTGAGGGGTGTTCTCCCTCCCCCCTCTTGCCCTCTGTTGCCTTTGCTGCTGCGGCCGACCTCGTTGGCTTCGAGTCGATCGGCGCTGCGTCTGCCCCGAGCGGGAGACGCCGCACCGGCAAGAGCAAGGGGGGCAAGGGCGCTGGAGGGGCTGGAGGGGGCGGTGGAGGTGGTGGTGGAGGCAGTGGAGGGAGTGGGGGTGGTGCCGGGGGTGGCGGCGGCGGCGGCAGCACTGGAGGCGGTGGAGGCGGTGGTGGTGGCGGAGAGAGCGGAGGCGGCGGAGGTGGCGGAGGAGGTGGAGGTGGAGGAGGCGGCGGAGGCGGCGGCGGCGGTGGTGGAGGGGGTCGCGACTCTGCGCACAGGAGTGGCTTAGGTGGTGGTCCGCGCCAGCAGCAGCGGAGTGATGTGACCCTGTCCCCTCAGCAGCTTCGTGAGTGGTACACTGCGCGTCAGCGCGGTGGGGGTTTTGGTCCCTGCACTTACGTCCTCCGTACCGACGACCGAGCTCGTGAGCAGTGCGGAGGCCCGCACTCCACCCAGCCTTGCTTTGGTCGCCTGACGGACGCCTGGTGTCGCCAGTTCCTTGAGGCATCAGAGATCCCTCGCTGGGGAGATCTGTCTAGGGCGGGGGTTGCCGTCTTTGATCTTGACTATGATGCTATCCTTGCTGCCATGTATTTTGTGACTACTAGTGTTGAGGGTGACTGTTACCTGTATGTACCGCCTGACGCGGGCATTGGGGCCACTGCTCTAGGTACTGGTGAGGCTGCTGCTCTAGGTGCTAGTGCGTTTCTGCCTCAGGTGCCAGTGCGTCTGCTGCCCCAGGTGCCAGTGCGTCTGCTGCCCCAGGTGCTGGTGAGTCTGCTCTCTCAGGTACTACGTCGGCTCAGGCCTTCCACACCTTCACCCTTGACTCGGAAGCGTCCCGTTCCTTCTTTCGAGATCGCACCACTCTTACGCCGCTCAGTCGGCCGGTTGCAGTCTCCCTGGCAGACCCCTCTGGGGGTCCTGTCCTTGCTAGCTTCTCCACTGTCTTACTGTGCCCGGCAGCCCCCTCTGGCACCCTGTCAGGTCTCTACCTCCCGTCGTTCTCTACGAACTTGGTGAGTGGAGCGGACCTACAGGATAGGGGGGTTGACCAGTTCACTCCTGCGAGTCAGCGAGTGACCCACTGCACGTGTGCTCGGATAGGCCGACACTTGGCCACGTTCACCCGTCGGCCAGGGTCGAGCCTGTACACCCTTACTACTGAGTCTGCCCAGGTAGTTTTGTCGAGTCAGGTGTTTGCTACTGCGTCCAGGTCCGAAGCTGAGTCTGCTCCCTGCTCGTGTCGTCTGCTGTCCCACCAGACTCTCCTTTGGCACCATTGCCTTGGTCACCCCTCCCTGCCTCGTCTCCGAGGCATGGCCTCCTGTGTCCTTGTCACTGGTCTCCCTCGGTCTCTCCCTGCCCTACCTCCGGGGCCGGGCCCTACCTGCGTCCCCTGCGTCGAGGGGCAACAGCGCGCCGCCCCTCACTCCTCCGAGTTTCCTCCGACAGAGGCTCCGCTGCAGACTCTACACATGGACGTGTGGGGCCCAGCCGGCGTCAGTGGGCAAGGGCGCAAGCGGTACTTCCTGCTGGTGGTTGACGACTACTCGCGTTACACCACAGTCTTCCCCTTGCGCAGCAAGGATGGCGTCACTGAGGTGTTGATCGACTGGATCCGCGCAGCTCGTCTCCAGCTCAGAGAGAGTTTCAGCTCGGACTTTCCTGTTCCGCGTCTGCACTCGGACAGAGGCGGAGAGTTTTCCTCTGCCCGTCTGGGAGCCTTCTGTCGTGCACAGGGCATCCGCCAGACCTTCACGCTTCCGGCCTCTCCACAGCAAAATGGGATTGCTGAGTGCCGCATTGGCATGGTCATGGACGTCACTCGTACGTCCATGATGCATGCGGCTGCCCCCCATTTTCTATGGCCGTTTGCGGTTCAGTACGCCGCGCATCAGCTCAACCTTCAGCCCCGGGTCTCTTTGCCAGAGACCTCCCCCGCCTTGGGGTGGACCGGGAAGGTTGGCGATGCGTCTGCGTTTTGGGTATGGGGATCTCGGGCGTTTGTCCGCGACTTGTCTGCGGACAAGCTGTCCCCTCGTGCTGTTCCCTGCGTCTTCCTTGGCTTCCCCCCTGACGCGCCTGGGTGGCAGTTTTACCACCCCACCTCGCGTCGTGTTCTGTCCTCCCAGGACGTCACCTTTGACAAGTCGGTACCCTACTACCGTCTCTTCCCCTACCGCACTGCGCCTCTTCCCCCGCCGCCGCTCTTCCTTGCACCAGGTCCTCCCCCGGTAGACCCCCTCCCCCCTCAGGGTCCTGCCCCGTCAGGTGTGTCCCAGGTAGACGCAGTCGAGCCTGTCGAGGTAGCTGTTGACTCTGGTGCTGCTAGAGGTGCTGAGCATGCGGGTGCCGGGTCCGAGGGTGCTGAGACTGGGGGTGCTGAGCCTAGGGGTGCGGATTCTGGGGTTGCTGAGCCTGGGGGTGCTGGGTCTGGGGGTGCGGAGCCTGGGGGTGCGGAGCCTGGGGGTGCTGAGCCTGAGGGCGCTGGGTCTACTCGTGTGGCCGTCGGTGGTGCTTCGTCGAGGCGGGAGCCACTCTCTCCATAGGAGCTGCGCGAGTGGTTTGCCCGCCGCTGGAGATGTGCTGCTGAGACTGGGGGTGCTGCGGGTGCTACTAAAGTTGGTCCTGTTGGAGCTGCAGGGGGTGTTGGCGCTGGTGTTTCTACTGGCGCTTGTGTGTCTGGGGGTGCTGCTGAGGCTGCTGGACCTGACGGTCCTACTGGAGTTGGTGCTGCTGGAGCTGGAGCTGCTGGGGGTGTTGGCGCTGGTGGTGCTGCTGGCGCTGGTGCGTGTGAGGGTGCTGGAGTTGGCGCTGTTGGAGCTGAAGGTGCTGCTGGCGCTGGTGCTGCCGCTGAAGGTACTGGTGCCGTCCTTGCTGGTTCTGGAGGCGCTGAGCGGCTGAGGCCGTACTTCGTTCCGCTCCTGGAGCAGGTTCTTGGTCTCCCGCCTGACCCGGGCATTGAGGCCGCTGCTCTAGGTGCTGGTGAGGCTACTGCTCTAGGTGCTAGTGCGTCTGCTGCCCAAGGTGCCAGTGCGTCTGCTGCCCCTGGTGCTGGTGTGTCTGCTCTCTCAGGTACTACGTCAGCTCAGGCCTTCCACACCTTCACCCTGGAGCCGGGTGCGTCCCGCTCCTTCTTTCGAGACCGCACCACTCTTACGCCGCTCAATCGGCCGGTTGCAGTCTCCCTGGCAGACCCCTCTGGTGGTCCTGTCCTTGCTAGCTTCTCCATTGTCCTACCGTGCCCAGCAGCCCCCTCTGGCACCCTGTCAGGTCTCTACCTCCCGTCGTTCTCTACGAACTTGGTGAGTGGAGCGGACCTACAGGATAGGGGGGCTGACTAGTTCGCTTCTGCGAGTCAGCGAGTGACCCACTGCACGTGTGCTTGGAAAGGCCGACACTTGGCCACGTTCACCCGTCGGCCGGGGTCGAGCTTGTACACCCTTACTACAGAGTCTCCTCCTGCTGCTGATTCTGTCCAGGTAGCTGCGTCGAGTCAGGTGTTTGCTACGGCGTCCAGGTCTGGTCCTGAGTCTGCTCCCTGCTCGTGTCGTCTCCTGTCCCACCAGACTCTCCTTTCGCACCACCGCCTTGGTCACCCCTCCTTGCCTCGTCTCCGAGGCATGGCCTCCCGTGTCCTTGTCTCTGGTCTCCCTCGGTCTCTCCCTCCCCTTCCTCCGGGGCCTGGCCCTACCTGCGTCCCCTGCGTCGAGGGGCGACAGTGCGCCGCCCCTCACTCCTCCGAGTTTCCTCCGACAAAGGCTCCGCTGCAGACTCTCCACATGGACGTGTGGGGTCCAGCCCGCGTCAGTGGGCAGGGGCACGAGCGGTACTTCCTGCTGGTGGTTGACGACTACTCGCGTTACACCACAGTCTTCCCCTTGCGCAGCAAGGGTAACGTCACTGAGGTGTTGATCGACTGGATCCGCGCAGCTCGTCTCCAGCTCAGAGAGAGTTTCGGCTCAGGCCTTCCTGTTCTGCGGCTGCACTCAGACAGAGGCGGAGAGTTTTCCTCTGCCCATCTGGGAGCCTTCTGTCGTGCACAGGGCATCCACCGACCAGAGCCTTCTGTCGTGCACAGGGCGCTTCTGGTGCTGCTGGAGGTGCGGCTGGATCTGGTGGTGCTGCTGGAGTTGGAGCTGCCACTGGGGGTGCTGGTGCTGTCCCTGCTGGTTCTGGAGGCGCGGCTCGGCCGCGGCTGTATTTTGTTCTGCTCCTTCAGCAGGTTCTTGGTCTTCCGCCTTCTACTGGTCCTACTCCTTCTTTAGAGTGTCCACACCCTGTCCAGTCGTAGCCATAGTTACAGCCCGCCTCCCCTCTACGTGCTCCTTCTCCCTACACTGGTCCTACTGGAGGTCTTGCTGAGCGTCGTGAGCCTGCGTCTCGTCCAGCGTCGCCTGTTCATGCTACTCGCACTAGTCGTCGCACTGCGCGCCCGCGTCCTCCTACGGTCCCCTGCACACACTAGATGGCACTGCGTCCTTCCACTGCTCCTCTGCGTGTCTCGTTGCCGTCTCCTCCAGAGTCCTCCCTTCCTGTTCTTGCTGACCCGGAGTCTGACTCCCTTCGTGCTGCTAGTCCTTCGATCACGCGCCTTCTTGCTACTGTTGTCACTGACCCTTCCTTTGAGTCCACTGCTGCGTCTGCCCTAGTTGCTGAGCTTGTCGACTTCCCTGCTCGCTGTCATCTAGACTACGCTGCCAGACTCATTGCTGAGTCTGAGTCTGTCTGTCCTCCGGCCATCGGGGGTGAGTGTGCTCTTAGCACGGACGTCCTTGAGGACAAGCAGGAGGAGTTCAAGTGCTTTGCTGCTGCTTTGCCCCATCTCGTGTCCACGCTGTTTGCCCCTGAGGGAGACCCGGATGCACCAGACATCCCGACTCCTCGATCGTACGCTGAGGCGATCGAGGGTTGTCAGAATCCCAACCACTAGACCATTGGGATAAAAGGGCTTGTTTCAGTAGCGGGTCAGTGCGCCCATAACCCCCCAGGCAAGCGCGCCTGTAACCCCCCTTAGGATCGATCGGGGATCTCACAGTGTAGCTCTACTAACACCCCCCCACACTGGGAGGCCCAGGACTGAGCACAGTGGCAACGGCCAACATGTGCATACACCGGGATTCGAACCAGAGACCACTCTGATACCATGTCAGAATCCCAACCACTAGACCATTGGGATAAAAGGGCTTGTTTCAGTAGCGGGTCAGTGCGCCCATAGCCCCCCAGGCAAACGCGCCTGTAACCCCCCCTAGGATCGATCGGGGATCTCACAGTGTAGCTCTACTAACAAGGGTCCCTACTCCTCTCAGTGGCAGTCAGCCATGGACGCAGAGATGGCTTCCTGGAAGTCCACAGACAACTACGTTGACGAGGTTCCCCCACCTGGTGCGAACATCGTCAGTGGCATGTGGATTTTCAGGGTGAAGCGGCGTCTGGTTCTCCGCCTGTCTTCAAGGCGCGTTACGTGGCTCAAGGCTTCAGTCAGCGGCAGGGAGTTGACTACTTTCATACCTTCTCTCCCACCCCAAAGATGACCACTCTTTGGGTGCTGCTGCACCTAGCCGCTCAGCGCGACTACGAGCTTCACTCTCTTGACTTCAGCACAGCTTTCCTGCAGGGCAGCCTGCACGAGGAGATCTGGCTGCGCCGCCCTCCTGGCTTCACTGGGTCGTTTCCTCCTGGTACCCAGTGGAGCCTCCGGCGGCCAGTCTACGGTCTCCGCCAGGTGTATTGTGAGTGGCACGACACACTGAGGACTACACTTGCGGCTCTTGGGTTTGCTCCTTCTACAGCCGACTCATCGCTGTTTCTACACACCGACACCTCTCTGCCGCCGCTCTACATCCTCATATACGTCGATGACTTGGTCTTTGCCACCGTTGACACTTCTGGACTCGTCCACGTGAAGTCCGAGCTGCAGAAGAGACACACGTGCACAGACCTGGGTGAACTGCGCAGCTACCTTGGCTTGCAGATCACCCAGGACAGAGCATAGCGCACCACTACACTAACCCAGTCACACATGGTGCAGCAGGTCCTTCAGCGCTTCGGCTTCACGTACTCCTCGCCTCAGGCCACTCCTTTGTCTACTCGCCACTCGCTCTCAGCTCTGCCTTCGGATGAGTCCGTAGAGTCGAGTGGCCCGTACCTAGAGCTTGTTGGCTGCCTCATGTACCTGATGACCTGCACACGACCTGACCTTGCATACCCTCTTAGCATCTTGGCACGCTATGTTGCTCCTGGGAGACACCGACCAGAGCACATGGCTGCAGCGAAGAGGGTGTTGCGCTACGTGTGCAGTACGTTGGGCATGGGGCTAGTGCTTGGAGGGCGACGTTGAGTGGTCCTCACAGGTCACGCTGACGCTTCTTGGGCTGACGACCAGGCTCTGCAGCGGTCGTCATAGGGTTACACCTTCAGCCTTGGCTCCGGCTCTGTTTCGTGGCGGTCTACCCGCTCGTCTTCTATTCTCAGCTCCAGCTGTGAGGCTGAGATCTACGCAGGGGCCATGGCTGCACAGGAGCTACGCTGGCTCACCTACGTGCTAACTGACCTAGGAGAGCCGCCTCGTTCTCCTCCAGTTCTGTACGTAGACAACAAGGCCATGCTGGCCTTGTTTCGGGAGCACAGACTGGAGCTCAGAACGAAGCACATTGCTCTCCGCTACTTCGTGGCTTGTGAGCTGCAGCAGCGTGGTCAGCTCCGCCTCACCTACGTGGCCTCTGAGGCCAACACTGCTGATATCTTCACCAAGGCACTTCAGCCTTGTGATCATCAGCGCTTCTGTACTTTGCTAGGTCTTGTGCCTACCTGGCCTCACTTGCTCACTTCTTGATCTTGTTTGTACTGTACTCTTTCTATACCTGTACTTGCTTGTTTACCTTTATATATATGATCTTGCATATGAACTGGCCTTGTGGCCTTACTCTTGTGCTCGGACTATGTGGTGACTTTGTGATCCACCCTGAGCTTGCTTTGCTTTGCTTGACTGGTCTTGTGACCACTTGTTCTCCCCCACTTTGCCTATGGGGGTGTGTCAGAACATTACAGCTTATACCTTTGTGTAGGCTGTAGTGGGGTAGCCCATAAGGGGTACAGCCCAATTAGGGTTAGTATTTGTACCCAAATCTTTCATAGTTCAATCATTCTCGTTTCTCATCACACGGGTGGCAGGTAGGGCAGGAGCTTGACAGGCGTGGGTAGGGCAGGCGCCTGACGGGCGGGCAGGGCAGGCGCAAGTGCACAGGTGAGGCAGGTGCGAGGCGCGTGACAGGGCAGGCAGGCACGGGAGCGCGCTTTGGGCAGGGCAGGAAAAATGATTTCGTGGTGGGCCCTAAAAAAAAAAAAACGGTCCCACTCGGGAACCTGCAGTCAAACTCATGCTGTAGTCTGTGTAGGTTGTAGTGGGGTAGACAATATGGGGTACAACACTTCTAGGTTTTCCTACTTGTACCCTCCTGCTTGCTAGTTCATTCATTCCTCATTTCTTCACAAGGTATAGAGCAGGTTCCTTAGTGGGAACGCTTCCTTGGGCCCACCAGTGAAAACTTTTTTCTGACCGGAGCAACAGTCGCTCCTGCCCGAGGCGCGCCTTGTGGGCGGCCCTTGTGACGACCTCGCTTAGAGGCCCCTTTCACGGCCCCTCGCGCCACCCCCAGCGGCCCCGTCGCCGCCCCTAGCGGCCCCGTAGCCGCCCTTCCAGGCCCCTAGCGGCCCCTAGCGGGCCCATCACCGCCCCTACGCGGCCCCGTCGCCGGCCCTAGTGGCCCTGTCGCCGCCCCTAGCAGCCTCGTCGCCACCCCTACGCGGCCCCGTCGCCGCCCCTAGCGGCTCCGTAGCCGCTCCTCACCCTACGCGGCCCCGGAGCCGCCCCTACGCGGCCCCGTCGCCGCCCCTACGCGGCCCAATCGCCGCCCCTAGCGGCCCCGTGGCCGCTAACCTCCCTACGCGGCCCCGTTGCCGCCCCTACGCGGCCCCGTCGCCGCCCCTACGCGGCCCCGTCGCCGCCCCTAGCGGCCCCGTAGCCGCTCCCCTCCCTATGCGGCCCCGTCGCCGCCCCTACGCGGCCCCGTCGCCGCCCCTAGCGGCCTCATCGCCGCTAACCTCCCTACGCGGCCCCGTTGCCGCCCCTACGCGGCCCCGTCGCCGCCCCTACGCGGCCCCGTCGCCGCCCCTAGCGGCCCCGTAGCCGCTCCCCTCCCTATGCGGCCCCGTCGCCGCCCCTACGCGGCCCCGTCGCCGCCCCTAGCGGCCCCGTCGCCGCTAACCTCCCTACGCGGCCCCATTGCCGCCCCTACGCGGCCTCGTCGCCACCCCTACGCGGCCCCGTCGCCTCTCCTAGCGGCCCCGTCGCCGCTCCTAGCGGCCCCGTCGCCGCTCCTAGCGGCCCCGTCGCCGCTCCCCTCCCTACGCGGCCCCGTTGCCGCCCCTACGCAGCCTCGTAGCCGCCCCTACACGGCCACGTCGCCGCCCCTAGCGGCCCCGTCGCCGCTCCCCTCCCTACGCGGCCGCGTCGCCGCCCCTAGCGGCCCCGTCGCCGCCCCTACCCGGCCCCGTCAACGGTCCAGCAGCCGAGCCGCTGAGCCGCCACTGCAGTAGCCGCCCCTGGAGCAGCCGCCACTGCAGCAGCCGCCCCTGGAGCAGCCGCCACTGCAGCAGCCGCCCCTGGAGTAGCCGCCACTGCAGCAGCCGCCCCTGGAGCAGCCGCCACTGCAGCAGCCGCCCCTGGAGCAGCCGCCACTGCAGCAGCCGCCCCTGGAGCAGCCGCCACTGCAGCAGCCGCCCCTGGAGCAGCCGCCACTGCAGCAGCCGCCCCTGGAGCAGCCGCCACTGCAGCAGCCGCCCGTGGAGCAGCCGCCACTGCAGCAGCCGCCCCTGGAGCAGCCCCCACTGCAGCAGCCGCCCCTGGAGCAGCCGCCACTGCAGCAGGCGCCCCTGGAGCAGCCGCCACTGCAGCAGCCGCCCCTGGAGCAGCCGCCACTGCAGCAGCCGCCCCTGGAGCAGCCGCCACTGCAGCACCCGCCCCTGGAGCAGCCGCCACTACAGCAGCTGCCCCTGGAGCAGCCGCCACTGCAGCAGCCGCCCCTAGAGCAGCCACCCCTGCAGCTGCCACGGAGCTCTCGCTCTACAGTGGTAGCGGCATCGCCGTTGCCGCCGTCGTACGCCTGCCCTTCTCGCCACTGGTGAGCACTGTCCTGCCCGTACTGCTGTTACTGCTGCTCTTATTACTGCTGCTCTTTCTACTGCTTCTGCTGCTCCTGGTGTGCCCAGATGCAACTCCAGCGTCGCTCGCGTAAGTCCCTCACCCCCCAACAGCTTCGTGAGTGGTACGCTAGTTGGGGTTGTCGGGGTGGCCGTAGTGGGAGTCGTCCTGGAGTGAGTAGTTCCGCAGTTGCTTGTAGTGGCAGGATGCAGCTCCAGCGTCGCCCGCGTGAGTCCCTCACCCCCCAACAGCTTCGTGAGTGGTACGCTCAGAGTGGAGGGTCGCTGAGTACTACTTCTGCCCGTACATTATTAGCACAGGTGTCCGGACTGGTCAGACTTGCGGGACGCGTGGTCACACGAAGTCCCGCTGCTTCGCGCGTCTGAGCGACACTTGGCGTACAGAGTTTGGCGACGACGCTGATCTCCCCGACTGGGTGGAGATGCTAAGGCAGAGGGTAGATATCTTTGCTCTTGACTATGATGCTATTCTCACTGCAATGTATGCATTGTCTACTAGTGCCGAGGGAGTCTGTCACTTGTGTGTGCCGCCTGGCCCCGGTATCCAGTCTGCTACTCTAGGTGCTGGTGAGGCTGCTGCTCTAGGTGCTAGTGCGTCTGCTGCCCCAGGTGCTGGTGAGTCTACTCTCTCAGGTACCACGTCAGCTCAGGCCTTACACACCTTCACCCTTGACTCGGGTGCTTCCCGCTCCTTCTTTCAAGACCGCACCACGCTTACGCCGCTTAGTCGGCCGGTTGCGGTCTCCCTGGCGGACCCCTCTAGGGGTCCTGTCCTTGCTAGCTTCTCCACTGACTTACCGTGCTCGGCAACCCCCTCCGGCACCCTAACAGGTCTCTACCTCCCCTCATTCTCTACGAACTTGGTGAGTGGAGCTGCTCTACAGGATAGGGGGGTTGACCAGTTCACTCCTGCGAGTCAGCGGGTGACCCACTGCACGTGTGCTCGGACAGGCCGACACTTGGCCACGTTCACCCGTCGGCGAGGGTCGAGCCTGTACACACTTACTACTGAGTCTCCTCTGACTGCTGAGTCTGGTCAGGTAGCTGCGTCGAGTCAGATGTTTACTATAGCGTCCAGGTCTGGTACTGAGTCTGCTCCCTGCTCGTGTCGTCTGCTGTCCCACCAGACTCTCCTTTGGCACCACCGCCTTGGTCACCCCTCCTTGCCTCGTCTCCGAGGCATGGCCACCTGTGTCCTTGTCTTTGGTCTTCCCCGGTCTCTCCCTCCCCTACCTCCGGGGCCTGCCCCTACCTACGTCCCTTGCGTCGAGGGGCGATAGCGCGCCGCCCCTCACTCCTCCGAGTTTCCTTCGACAGAGGCTCCGCTGCAGACTCTTCACATGGACGTGTGGGGCCCCGCCCGCGTCCGTGGGCAGGGGCACGAGCGGTACTTCCTGCTGGTGGTTGACGACTACTCGCGTTACACCACAGTCTTCCCCTTGCGCAGCAAGGGTGATGTCACTAAGGTGTTGATCGACTGGATCCGCGCAGCTCGTCTCCAGCTCAGAGAGAGTTTCGGCTCGGACTTTCATATACTGCGTCTGCACTCTGACAGAGGCGGGGAGTTTTCCTCTGCCCGTCTGGGAGCCTTCTGTTGTGCACAAGGCATCCGTCAAACCTCCACACTTCCGGCCTCTCCACAGAAAAATGGGATTGTTGAGCGCAGCATTGGCATGGTCATGGACGTCGCTCGTACGTCCATGATCCATGCGGCTGCCCCCCATTTTCTGTGGCCGTTTGCGGTTCAGTACGCAGCGCATCAGCTCAACCTTCAGCCCCGGGTCTCCTTGCCTGAGACCTCCCCCACCTTACGGTGGGCGGGGAAGGTTGGCGATGCTTGTGCGTTTCGGGTCTGGGGATCTCGGGCGTTTGTCCACGACTTGTCTGCGGACAAGCTGTCCCCCCGTGCTGTTCTCTGCGTCTTCCTTGGCTTCCCCCCTGACGCGCCTTGGTGGCAGTTTTACCACCCCACCTCGCGCCGCGTTCTGTCCTCCCAGGACGTCACCTTTGAAGAGTCGGTGCCTTACTACCGTCTCTTCCCCTACAGCACTGCGCCCCTCCCCCCGCCGCCGCTCTTCCTTGCGCCAGGTCCTCCCCCGGTAGACCCCCTCCCCACTCAGGGTCCTACCCCGTCAGGTGTGTCCCAGGTAGACGCGGTCGAGCCTGTCGAGGTAGCTGTTGACTCTGGTGCTGCTCGAGGTGCTATGCCTGCGCGAGCCGGGTCTGGGAGTGCGGAGCCTGGGGGTGCTGAGTCCAGGGCTGCGGAGTCTTGGGGTGCTGAGTCTGGGGGTGCTGAGTTTGGGGGTGCTGAGTCTGGGGGTGCTGATCCTGGGGGTTCTGAGCCTGGGGGTGCGGAGCCTAGGGGTGCTGGGTCTGCTCGTGTGACCTCTCGCGGTGCTTCGTCGAGGCGGGAGCCGCTCTCTCCGCAGGAGCTGCGCGAGTGGTTTGCCCGGCGCTGGAGCCGTGCTGCTAGAGCTGGAGGTACTATTGTTGCTGCTGGACCCGGAGGTGCTCGTACTCTTTTTTTTCATCAATTGGGTTTAGGGTTTAGGGTTTAGGGTACTGCTGGAGCTGCTGGCGGTACTAGGGCTGCTGGGGCTGGGGGTGCTGCTGGAGGTACTGCTGGAGCTGCTGGCGGTACTGGAGCTGCCGGTCCTACTGGAGTTGGTGCTGCTGGAGCTGCGGGAGTTAGTGGAGCTGGAGCTGCTGGAGTTACTGGAGCTGGAGCTGCTGGGGGTGTCGGCGCTGGTGGTTCTGCTGGCGCTGGTGCGTCTGAGGGTGCTAGAATTGGCGCTGTTGGCGCTAGCGGTGCTGCTGACACTGGTGCTGCCGCTGGGGGTACTGGTGCTATCCCTGCTGGTTCTGGAGACACTGCGCGGCCGCGACCGTACTTCGTTCCGCTACTTGAGCAGGTTCTTGGTCTCCCGCCCTAGGAGGGGGAACCACGTCGACGTAAGTGCCAGTGGACTTCCAGGATGCCATCTCTGCGTCCATGGCTGTCTGCCATTCAGAGGAGTACTCACCCGCGATCGCCTCAGCGTAAGAGCGCGGGGTCGGGATGTCTGGTGCATCCGGGTCTCCCTCAGGTGCAATCAGCATGGACACGAGATGAGGTACAGCAACGGCAATGCACTCAAACTCCTCTTGTCTGTCTTCAAGGACGTCCGTGCCAAGAGCACACTCACCCCCGACGGACGGAGGACAGACAGACTCAAGACTCAGCAACATGTCTAGCGGCGTAGTCTAGACGCCAGTGAGCAGCAAAGTCGACAAGCTCAGCAACTAAGGTAGACGCAACAGCAGACTCAAAGGAAGGGTTAGTGATAGCCGTGTCCAGGAGACGCGTGACAGTAGGACTAGCAGCACGAAGAGAGTCAGACTCAGGGTCATCAAGGGCAGGAAGGGAGGACGCAGGAGGAGAAGGTAGAGGGACACGCTGTGAAGCACTGGAAGGACGAAGCGTCTTCTGGTGAGTGCCTAGGACAGCAGGAGGACGCTAACGCGGGACACGACGACTAGTGCGAGCAGCACGAACAGGCGACACAGAACGAGACTCAGGCGACACAGGACGAGACGCAGGCTCCTGACGCTCCGTAAGACCTCCTATCGGACCAGTGTTGGGAGAAGGACCAGGGAGTGGCGAGGCAGGCTGTAACTGTGACTGCGAATGGACAAGCGGAGGACACTCTAAGGAGGGAGCAGGACAAGGAGGAGGCGGCTGACCAAGAACCCGCTGAAGGAGTGGAACGAAGTACGGCCGCGGTCGTGAGGCGCCCCCAGAACTAGCAGAGACAGCACCAGAACCCCCACCAGCAGCTCCAACTCTGGTAGCACCACCAGCAGCTCCAGTAGTGCCAACTCCAGTACCCCCAGCAGCACCAGCTCCAGCCGCACTGTCGGGTCCAGCACCTGCAGGAGGACGAGCGTCAGCACCTCCAGCTCTAGCCCCTGCAACACCAACACCAGGGTCAGCAGCTATACCAACTCCAGTAGGCCCAGCGGCCTCAGCTCCACCGGCAGCTCCAGCAGCTCCAGCACCTCCAGCTCCAACTCCAGCTCCAGGAGAACCCCCAGTCCCAGCAGCTACAGGACCACCTTGATGAGCACCTCCAGGTTCAGAGGCTGCAGTACCTCCGGCAGCACCAGGGCCTCCAGCGGGTGGCACCCCAGAGTTAGGAGTGCCGCTCCGGAGGCTGCAGCATCGAGCGTACCACTCACGCAGCCACTGTGGGGAGGGAGGCTCTGGCCGCGACAGAGCACCCGCAGCACCACCAGCTCCAACTCCGGCAGAACCCCCAGCTCCAACAGCCCCACGCTGGAGGCTGCAACACTGAGAGTACCACTCATGCAGCTGCTGTGAAGAGGGAGTGCCACCAGGCGCAGCACGGTCAGTCTCAGCTCCCCCAGGCTTAGCACCGCCAGTCTCAGCACCCCCAGGCTCAGCAACCCCAGTCTCAGCACCCCCAGGCTCAGCACCCCCAGGCTCAGCACCCCTAGACTCAGCACCCCCAGTCTTAGCACCCCCGGACGCAGTACCTCGCGCAGGACCAGAGTCGACAGCTACCTCAACAGGCTCGACCGGGTCCACGTGGGAAACACCTGAGGGAGCAGGACCCTGGGGAGGGAGGGGGTCTACCGAAGCAGCACCTGGCGTGAGGAAGAGCGGAGGAGGGGGGAGCGGGGCAGTGCGGTAGGGGAAGAGACGGTAAAAGGGGACCGACTTGTGAAACGTGACGTCTTGAGAGGGCACGACACGGCGCGAAGTGGGGTGGTAAAACTGCCAGCTAGGCGCGTCAGGGACAAATCTAAGGAAGACACAGGGAACGGCACGGGAGGAGAGCTTGTCCGCGGACGTATCGCGAACAAAGGCTCGACATCCCCAGACCCGAAACACCGACGCATCTCCAACCTTCCCCGCCCAACGTAGTGTGGGCGAGGTCTCCGGAGCAGAGACACGGGGCCAGAGGTTGAGCTGATGCGCAGCGTACTGCACTGCAAACGGCCACACGAATGGGGGGCAGCCGCATGGATCATGGAGGTACGAGCAACCTCCATGACTAAGCCAATGCAGCGCTCAGCAACCCCATTCTACTGTGGAGAGGCCGGAAGTGTGAACGTCTGGTGGATGCCGTGCTCGGAGGAAAACTCACCACCTCTGTCTGAGTGCAGACGCAGGTAGAGAAAGTCCGACTAGAACCGCTCGCGGAGCTGGAGACGAGCAGCGCGGATCCAAGGGATCAAAACATCAGGGACCTCACCCTTGGTGCGCAAGGGGAAGACCATGGTGTAGCGCGTGTAGTCGTCAACGACCAGCAGGAAGTACCGCTCTTCGCCCTGTCCACGGACGCGGGCTGGGCCCCACACGTCCAGGTGGAGAGTCTGCTGGGGAGCCTCTATGGGAGGGAACGAGGAGGAGTGAGGAGTGGCGCGCTGCCGCCCTCGACACAGGGAAGACAGGGAGGAGTAGGCGAGGGTGGGAGGGGAGGGAGAACCCTGGGAAGACCAGAGACAAGGTACCGGTAGTGCATACCACAAAGGCGCTACACTGAGGGGTGACCAAGGTGGTGATGCCAGAGGACGGTCTGGTGCGACAGGGTGCAACACGCGCAGGGGGCGGACAACTGACCTGACGCAGACGCTAACGCCGCTACATGAGGGGACTCAGTGGTCAGTGTGTACAAGTCCGACCCCGGCTGCCGAGTGAAGGTAGCCAGGTGACGACTGTTATAGTCAAGAGTCCACTTAGAGGTCGCGGATGCCCATGAAACCGCCTAAGCAGAATCTGACATCTTCAAACCGCCTCTGTTCAAAACGCCGTCACGATCAGCTCCGATAACACGTGAGACTGAAACTTGGACAGCGGTTACCCTTATGTGTCTGCTTTCCAACGGTGTATTGCTTGCTTTCACCAGAGGTGTATGCGCTACGCTGTGAACGAAAACGTAAGCTCGGCTGAAAAGAGTGTATTTTCATTGATGCAAGGAAGAGGTGAGATACAACATTGCCTAGGGGACTCTTAAGGGGTTGGGATCATCCTGGGAACTCAGAGAAGGTTGAGTCCTAGGGGAGAAAGGCTAGAGAAGGATGGGAAACGTTCTATCTAGGTCAGCAAAGCCAACCACACATGGATGTTCAGAGCTGTACTCAAGGCAACCAATCGTGAGTTAAGCCAACCATGAGTTAGCTTGTCTTCCCACTTGCACCCTCTTGCAAGCTGGTTCCAGGAAGACCACACTTCTCAAAAGGAGGGCTGTAGAGTCCCACTTGATCACCTGTACTTCTTGTCTCATTCTCTGTCCTTGCACCATTGGCATGACAACATGAAAGGGTGGCAAGGGAAACGCTGCCAACAGTGCACCATGACTACGGAACAGTGAATTTCGGCAGCTGTCACGCAATGCTCAGATGTTGGATCGTTCTGAAACTTCGTGACCACCTGCAAAACGGGGCAACGAACTGCCAGACCAAATTTCAGACCAATCAGAGCTCGGTAGACGAGTCAGCAGCCGAAATGGTGAACTCGGGTGTTACCAAAAAGGAGTAACACACACTTCCGGGATGCCATAAGTCTTGAAACATAAAATGTTGTCATGCCTTGGTAACTGCTTCAAAAAACTCTGAAACTTCGAGGGTTTGAAGAACACATGTTGAACAACCTCCCCACAAAATTCCAGAAGCTGAGCAGGCTTGTAGGCCGAATGGGAGTGCGATGACTGTGCCACTGTAATGTGTTGGCACAACAACGACCCGTCTGGGCACACGTGCAGTGTGTCACACGCTCGTAGGCAGGGGTGAACTGGTGAACACCCGCGTCCTGGAGCGCAGAACCCGCCACCAAGTTCGTAGAGAACGAGGGGAGGTAAAGGCTCGACAGTGTGCCGGACGGGACAGCAGGACAAAGGAGGGCAGTGGTGGAGGTCGCAAGGACCGGACCCCCGGAGGGGTCAGCCAAGGAGACAGCAACCGGTCTAGGGAGCTGCTCTAGGGCAATGCGGTCGCGAAAGAAATAGCGGGAAGCACCTGAGTCAAGTGTGAAGGTGTGGAGTGCCTCACTAGACGTAGTACCTGAAGGTGCAGACGGACAAGCACCTGAAGCAGCAGACTCACGAGCGCCTAGAGAAGCACCCTCACCAACACCTGGAGTAGGAGACGCACGAGCACCTAGAGCAGCAGTCTCACTGGCACCTGGAGTTGCAGACTGGATACCGGGGTCATGCGGCACACACAGGTGACAGGCTCCTTCGGCACTAGTAGAGAATGCATACATTGCAGTGAGAATAGCATCATAGTCAAGAGCAAAGATATCTACTCTCTGCCTAAGCAGCTCCACCCAGTCGGGGAGCTCAGCGTCGTCGCCGAACTCTGTACGCCAAGCGTTGCTCAGACTGGCGAAGCAGCGAGACTCATGTGTGACCAGGCGTCCCGCAAGGCTGACCAGTCCGGACACCCGTGCTAATAACGTACGGGCAGCTAGCAGTACTCAGCGACCCTCTACTCTGAGCGTACCACTCATGAAGCTGCTGGGGCGAACGAGTCTCGTGGAGACGACGCTGCTGCTGCACCGGGCCACTACAAGAAACTCCCAAACTACCCACTCCAGGGGCCAGAGGCGGCTGCTCCAGGGGCCAGGGGCGGCTGCTGCAGGGGCGGCTGCTCCAGGAGCGGCTGCTCCAGGGGCCAGGCGCAGGGTAGGGGCGACATCGTGGGCAGGGCCGACGCGGCGGGCAGGGCGACGCGGCGGGCAGGGGGCGACGACGCGTCAGCAACTGGGCGCGGCCGCGTCAGTAGCAGGGCGTGGCCGCGTCAGCAGAGGGGCGCGGCCGCGTCAGCAGTAGGGCGCGGTCGCGTTAGCTGCAGTGCTGGCGGGGCCACGTCACAGCAGGGCGAGGCCGCGTCCGTGTCGGCGGCAGGGCTGGGCCGCGACCGCGGCAGGGTGGGGCCGCGTCAGTGACAAGACGGGGCCGCGACTGCAGCCTGATGGGGCCGCGACAGCGACCTGACGGGGTCGCGCGCTAGCCTGACGGGCCTGCAGAGGTTGCGTGCGGGCGGTGAGGGCCTGCAGGGGCGGTGCGCGGTCGGGCAGAGGCTGTGCATGGGCGGCGAGGGCCTGACGGGCCTGCAGAGGCGGCTCGGGGGCCTGACGGGCCTGCACGGGCGGCTCAGGGGCCTGACGGGCGTGCAGGGGCGGCTCGAGGGCCTTACTAGCTTGCAGGGGCAGCGCACTGGCCTAGGGCAGCAGGAGGCAGCGCGAGGGCTGCAAGACGGCGCGCAGGCAGAACGAAGAGCGGGGCGCGCGAGGGCGCACTAGCAGAAAAAGGCGCACGAGGGCACACGTAAGGTAGGGCGCACGAGGGCGCTTCTAGCGGAATAGTGGGCCCGTAGTAGTAAGCGGTCCTAGGTGGCAACCTAGGCTCGTGATACCATGTCAGAACGAACAAAAGTGATTGAACTAGGAAAGAGTTGGGTACAAGTAGGAAACCCTAAACTTACTGTACCCCATAGTAACTACCCCACTATAGCCTAAACAAACTGTAGCAGATATGACATTTGACAATTTCGGCTAAGGCTACCACACATAACTGAGTTCCAATACCCAACCTTCTCATTTTCTCCTCTCATTTCTTCCAAACTACTCTTGTTTTGTTCCTCACTCTTCAGTTTTATTTGTTAGAGCACACCTCTGCTTGTTTATCAACTTTGGAATCTTCAGCGCTATTAGTTGATTTTTCGTTGTTTGCCTTCACCTTATGACACGCCGGAAGGCAATATGGGCGTGGCGTTTTGGGCGTGGCAATTTGGGCGTGGCAACTTGGGCGTGGCAATTTGGACGTGGCGGTATGGGCATGGCAATTTGGGCGTGGCGATTTGGGCATGGCGATATGGGCGATGGCGTGCGGGCTGGGGCAACGTTGTTACTACATTAAGCACTATCCTAAGTTTATGTTTTCTGTTTTGCTGACCTTAACTTCTTGTTTTCTGTTCTCCAAATACTAACGGTTCATAAAAATATCGTGATTTTGCAGGCTACAAGTTTCCCGTGCAGAATGTGTTATTATATTTTTATCATCAGTTCCATTCAGTATTTTCTGGCAAGAGGTGGTTGAACCCTGGTATGTACTTGGCGCTCTCTAATGGTTAATTATTTAAACTTGTTTTTGCAGGGATATGTTTATCGGTTGCAACCGCACGGTTAATGGCCGTTACACGTGGAGATTATTTGTACATAGCGTTTGCGAAGTCTGTATGTCAAACTTATATGCTATGGTCTATCTAGGCTGTAGTGGGGTAGACACTACAGGGTACAACATTTTTAGGTTTCCCACTTGTACCCACATTCTCCTTAGTAATTTCATTCCTCATTTCTTCACATGGTATAGAGCAGGTTCCCTAGTGGGAACTTTTCCCACCACTGAAAATCGAGTTTATACCATGTGAAGAAATGAGGAATGAAATCGAGTCGGGCCTGCCAGAGGCGCGCCCTGTGTGCCGCCCTCCCCTTAGCGACCCGTCGCGCCGCCCTTAGTGGCCCCCACCCTCTCACGGCCCCTCGCGACCCTGTCGCCGCCCCCTAGCGGCCCGTCGCGCCGCCCTGAGCGGCCCCTTGCGGCCCCACCTCCACGGCCCTGTCGCCGCCCTCTCGCAGCCCCGTCGCCGCCCTCTCGCGGCCCCGTCGCCGCCGTTTGCGGCCCCGCCGCCGCCCTCGCGGCCTTGTCGCCGCCCTCTCGCGGCCGCGTCGCCGCCCTCTCGCGGCCCCAGTGCCTCCCTCTTGCGGCCTCGTCGCCGCCCTTAGCGGCCCCATCGCCGCCCCTTGCGGCCCCGTCGCCGCCTCTTGCGGCCCAGTTACCGCCCCTTGCGGCCCCGTTGCCGCCCCTTGTGGCCTCGTCGCCGCCCTTAGCGGCCCCGTCGCCGCCCCTTGCGGCCCCGACGCCGCCCCTTTCGGCCCCTCCCCGGCCCCTTCACTGCCGAGCTTCCGAGCCGCCAAGCAGCCGAGCCGTCGAGCAGCCGAGCCACCGAACCGCCGAGCCGCTGCCGCCAAGCTGTCGTCGAGACGCTACTGCCACTGCCGAGTCGTTGCCACCGCGGTTGCAGCCCTGTTCCTACCGGCGCGCCCCGGCCCTACCCACCCGGACTAATGAGAGCACTCCCTGCTAGACCACTGCTGTCATGGCTACCCCCAGTGTCCTTACCTTTGATGCTGAGGGTCGTGCCGTTGACTTCGAGGTCTGGATCGATGACCTACAACTCTTCCTACAGTGCGATAGGGCAGACGGACTCTCCCTGTTCGATCTCACCTCTGGTGCCTCTCCTGCCCCGCTTGCTGATGCTAACACCACTGTTCGCTCACAGTGGGCCACCCGCAATGCTGCTGCCCATCTTGCTGTGCGTCGCCACTTACTGACCGCTGAGCGTGCGCACTTTAGTCAGTACAAGAGTGCTAAGACCTTGTACGACGCTATAGTTGCACGCTACTCTTCCCCTGCCACTGTTGCTCTTAGCCGCCTCATGCTGCCGTACCTGTTTCCTGACCTCGCCGCCTTTCCCACTCTCGCTGACCTTGTTACGCACCTTCGCACTAGTGACAACCGCTACCGCGCTGTGCTTCCTGCTGAGTTCTGCACCAAGATCCCCCCCCCCCCATGTACATCACCCTCTACTACATAGTCACTCGGCTCCCTGACTCCCTTCACTCGGTCAGGGACCACTTCCTCTCTGTTTTCCCCACCACACTCACCGTTGACCTCCTCGAGGAGCGCCTCCTGGCAGCTTAGAAGAGTATAGTTGCTGTAGGAGCCTCTCGAGGTGACCCGTGTGCCCCTGTCTTTGAGGGGTGCTCCCCCTCCCCCCTTTTGCCCTCTGTTGCCTCTGCTGCTGCCGTCGACTTCGTTGGCACCGAGTCGGTCGGCGCTGCGTCTGCCCCTAGCAGGAGACGCCGCACCGGCAAGGGCAAGGGGGGGCAAGGGCGGTGGGAGGGGCTGGCGGGGGCGGTGGAGGTGGAGGTGGAAGAGGCGGAGGGAGTGGGGGTGGTGGTGGGAGTGGTGGCGGGGGTGGGGGCTTCGGTGGCGGCAGTGGTAGCGGAGGCGGCGGCCGCGGTGGCAATGGGAGCGGAGGAGGAGGCGGTGGCGGCGGCGGTGGAGGTGGCGGCGGAGGAGGTGGAGCTAGTCGGGGTTGCTCCGCGCAGCGGGGCGGCTTAGGTGGTGGTCAGCGCCAGCAGCAGCAGCGCACTCGTGAGACCCCGTCCCCCCAGCAGCTTCGTGAGTGGTACGCTGGGCGTTAGCGAGGTGGGGGTACTGGTCCCTGTACCTACGTCCTCCGTACTGGCGACCGCGCTGGTGAGCAGTGCGGGGGCTCGCACTCCACCTAGCGCTGCTTCGGCCGCCTGACGGACGCTTGGCGTCACCAGTTCCCTAACGCTACGGAGATCCCTCGCTGGGGAGAGCTGTCTAGGGCGGGGGTTGCTATCTTTGATCTTGACTATGATGCTATTCTTGCTGCCATGTATGTTGTGTCTACTAGTGATGAGGGTGACTGTTACCTGTGTGTTCCGCCTGACCCGAGCATTGAGACTGCTGCTCTAGGTGCTGGTGAGGCTGCTGCTCTAGGTGCTAGTGCTTGGAGGGCAACGTCTAGAGGTCCTCACAGGTCACGTAGACGCTTCTTGGGCTGACGACCAGGCTACGCAGCGGTCGTCACTGTCAGAATATTAAATCTTATACATTTGTGTAGGCTGTAGTGGGGTAGCCCATAAGGGGTACAACCCAATTAGGGTTAGCGATTGTACCCAACTCTTTCATAGTTCAATCATTCTCGTTTCTCATCATGGTATCGAGCAGGTTCCCGAGTGGGAATGCTGCCTAGGGCCCACCACGATTTTTTTTTCCCTGCCCGGAGCGGGCTTCACTCCTACTCGAGTCGCGTTTCGTGTGCCCTGCCTACCCTCGAGCCGCCCTTAGTGGCCCCTTTGGCCGCCCTTATGACTCCTCGCGCCGCCCATACGGCCCCTTACGGCCCCCTACGGCCCCGCGCGCCGCCCTCTAAGGCCCCTCGCGCCGCCCTTACGGCCCCGCCTAGGCCCCTTACGGCCCCTCCGCGGCCCCGTCTAAGCCCCTTGCGGCCCCGTCTAGGCCCCTCCGCGGCCCCGTCTGGCCCCTTGCGGCCTCGTTTTGGCCCCTCTAGGGCCCCGTTTAGGCCCCTCTGCGGCCCCGTCTGGCCCCTTACGGCCCCGTTTAGGCCCCTCCGCGGCCCCGACTATGCCCCTCCGCGGCCCCGACTAGCCCCTTACGGCCCCGTTTAGGCCCCTCTGCGGCCCCGTCTACGCCCCTTGCGGCCCCGTCTAGGCCCCCTTTTGGCCCCGTCTCGGCCCCTTTCGGCCCCGGCTAGGCCCCTTTCGGCCCCGCTTAGGCCCCTTTCGGCCCCGTCTCGGCCCCTCTGCGGCCCTGTCTAGGCCCCCCTTTGCGGCCCAGTCGCCGCCGCTTGCGGCCCCGCCGCCACTTACGGCCCTAATCGCCGTCACCCGCGGACTCGTCATCCTACCCTAGCGGCCCCATCACCACTCCGCCGCCCAGCGACCGAGCCGCCAAGCAGCACAGCAGCCAAGCCGCCCACCTACCGAGCAGCCGAGCTGCCCAGCAGTCGAGCCGCCCCGCAGCCGAGCCGCCGAGCAGCCGAGCCGCCCAGCAGCCAAGCCGCCCTGCCGCCGAGCCGCCCAGCAGCCGAGCCGCCCTGCAGCTAAGCCGCCCAACAGCCGAGCCGCCCTGCCGCCGAGCCGCCAAGCCGCCCTTCTGTCTAGAAGCTGCTGTTTCTACCGGTGCTCCCCGGCCCCTCCTTCCTCGGACTTGTGAGCTCGCTTCCTCCTAGGCCACTTCAGTCATGGCTACCCCCAGTGTCCTCACTTTTGATGCTGAGGGCCGTGCCGTTGACTTTGAGGTCTGGGTCGATGACCTCCAGCTGTTTCTCCAGTGCGATAGGGCAAATGGACTCTCTCTGTTCGATCTCACCTCTGGTGCCTCTCCTGCCCCGCCTGCTACTACTGACATCACTGTTCGCTCGCAGTGGGCCACACGCGATGCTGCTGCTCGCCTTGTTGTTCGTCGCCATTTACCGACCACTGAGTGTGCACACTTTAGCCAGTACAAGAGTGCTCAGACCTTGTACGACGCTGTAGTTGCACGCTACTCTTCCCCTGCCACTGCTGCACTGAGCCGCCTCATGCTACCGTACCTCTTCCCTGACCTTGCTACCTTTCCCACAGTCGCTGACCTCATTACGCACCTCCGCACTAGTGACACTCGCTACCGCGCTGCGCTTCCTGCTGAGTTCTGCGCCAAGAACCCCCCCCCCCCCCATGTACATCACCCTCTACTACATAGTCACCCGGCTCCCTGACTCTCTTCGCATAGTCAGGGACCACTTCCTCTCAGTTTGCCCCACCACTCTCACCGTTGACCTCCTCGAGAAGGCCCTCCTAGCGGCACAGAAGAGCATAGTTGCTGTAGGAGCCTCTCGTGGTGACCCTCGCACCCCCGTCTTTGAGGGGTGTTCTCCCTCCCCTCTCTTGCCCTCTGTTGCTTCTGCTGCTGTGGCCGATCTCGTTGGTTTCGAGTCGGTCGGCGCTGCGTCTGCCCTGAGCGGGAGACGCCGCACCAGCAAGGGCAAAGGGGGCAAGGGCAGTGGAGGGGCTAGAGGGGGCGGTGGAGGTGGTGGTGGAGGCAGTGGAAGGAGTGGGGGTGGTGGTGGGAGTGGTGCCGGGGGTGGCGGCGGAGGCGGCAGCAGTGGAGGCGGCGGAGGCGGAGGAGGTGGCGGAGGGAGCGGAGGCGGCGGAGGTGCCGGAGGAGGCGGAGATGGAGGAGGCGGCGGAGGCGGCGGCAGCGGCGGTGGTGGAGCGGGTCGAGACTCTGCGTAGAGGAGTGGCTCAGGTGGTGGTCCGCGCCAGCAGCAGCGGAGTCGTGTGACCCTATCCCCTCAGCAGCTTCGTGAGTGGTACACTGCGCGTCAGCGCGGTGGGGGTTTTGGTCCCTGCACTTACGTCCTCCGTACCGGCGACCGAGCTGGTGAGCAGTGCGGAGGCCCGCACTCCACCCAGCGCTGCTTCGGTCGCCTAACGGACGCGTGGTGTCGCCAGTTCCATGAGGCGTCAGAGATCCCTCGCTGGGGAGATCTGACTAAGGCGGGGGTTGCTATCTTTCATCTTGATTTTGATGCAATTCTTGCTGCCATGTATGCTGTTGATACTAGTGTTGCGGTTGACTGTTACCTGTGTGTACTGCCTGACCCGGGCATTGAGGCCGCTCCTCTAGGTGCTGGTGAGGCTGCTGCTCTAGGTGCTAGTGCGTCTGCTGCCCCAGGTGCTGGTGAGTCTGCTCTCTCAGGTACTTCGTCGACTCAGGCCTAACACACCTTCACCCTTGACTCGGGTGCGTCCCGCTCCTTAGTCGGCCAGTTGCAGTCTCCCTGGCGGACCCCTCTGGGGGTCCTGTCCTTGCTAGCTTCTCCACTGTCTTACTGTGCCCGGCAGCCCCCTCTGGCACCCTGTCAGGTCTCTACCTCCCCTCGTTCTCTACGAACTTGGTGAGTGGAGCGGACCTACAGGATAGGGGGGTTGACCAGTTCACTCCTGCGAGTCAGCGAGTGACCCACTGCACGTGTGCTTGGAAAGGCCGACACTTGGCCACGTTCACCCGTCGGCCGGCCTGTACACCCTTACTACTTAGTCTCCTCCGGCTGCTGAGTCTGCCCAGGTAGCTTGTCGAGTCAAGTGTTTGCTACAGCGTCCAGGTCTGGTCCTGAGTCTGCTCCTTGCTCGTGTCGTCTCCTGTCCCACCAGACTCTCCTTTGGCACCACTGCCTTGGTCACCCCTCCTTGCCTCGTCTCCGAGGCATGGCCTCCCGTGTCTTTGTCACTGGTCTCCCTCGGTCTCTCCCTCCCCTACCTCCGGGGCTGGCCCTACCTGCGTCCCCTGCGTTGAGGGGTGACAGCGCGCCGCCCCTCACTCCTCCGAGTTTTCTCGGACTGAGGCTCCACTGCAGACTCTCCATATGGACTTCTGGGGCCCAGCCCGCCTCAGTGGGCAGGGGCAAGAGCGGTACTTTCTGCTGGTCGTTGACGACTACTCGCGTTACACCACAGTCTTCCCCTTGCGCAGCAAGGGTGACGTCACTGAGGTGATCGACTTGATCCGCGCAGCTCGTCTCCAGCTCAGAGAGAGTTTCGGCTCGGACTTTCCTGTTCCGCGTCTACACTCTGACAGAGGCGGGGAGTTTTCCTCTGCCCGTCTGGGAGCCTTCTGTCGTGCACAGGGGATCCGCCAGACGTTCATGCTTCCGACCTCTCCACAGCAAAATGGGATTGCTGAGCGCCGCATTGGCATGGTCATGGACGTCGCTCGTATGTCCATGATGCATGCGGCTGCCCCCCATTTTCTGTGGCCGTTTGCGGTTCAGTACGCCGCGCATCAGCTCAACCTTCAGCCCCGCGTCTCCTTGCCAGAGACCTCCCCCGCCATGCGGTGGACCGGGTAGGTTGGCGATGCGTCTGCGTCTCAGGTCTGGGGATCTCGGGCGTTTGTCCGCGACTTGTCTGCGGACAAGCTGTCCCCGCGTGCTGTTCCCTGACGCGCCTGGGTGGCAGTTTTACCACCCCACCTCGCGCCGTGTTCTGTCCTCCCAGGACGTCACCTTTGACGAGTCGGTGCCTTACTACCGTCTCTTCCCCTACCGCACTGCGCCCCTCCCCCCGCCGCCGCTCTTCTTTGTGCCAGGTCCTCCCCTGGTAGACCCCCTTCCCCGTCAGGTGTGTCCCAGGTAGACGCAGTCGAGCCTGTCAAGGTAGCTGTTGACTCTGGTTGTGCTAGAGGTGCTGGGCCTGCGGGTGCCGAGTCTGGGGGTGTTGAGTCTGGGGGTCTGAGACTGGGGGTGCTGAGCCTGGGGGTGCTGAGTGTGGGGGTGCTGAGCCTGGGGGTGCTGAGTTTGGGGGTGCTAAGCCTAGGGGTGCGGAGCCTGGGGGCGCTGGGTCTGCTCGTGTGGCCGCCGGCGGTGCTTCGTCGATGCGGGAGCCACTCTCTCCACAGGAGATGCGCGAGTGTTTTGCTCGCCGCTGGAGACGTGCTGCTGTGACTAGGGGTGCTATTGGGGCTACTGGAGTTGGTCCTGCTAGAGCTGCTGGCGGTGGTGGTGCTGCTGGAGCTGGAGCTGCTGGGGGTGTTGGCGCTGGTGTTTCTACTGGCGCTGGTGCGTCTAGGGGTGCTACTGAGGCTGCTGGAGCTGACGGTCCTACTGGAGTTGGTGCTACTGGAGCTGGAGCAACTGGGGGTGTTGGCGCTGGCGGTGCTGCTGGCGCTAGTGCTTCTGAGGGTACTGGTGTTGGCGCAATTGGAGCTGGAGGTTCTGCTGGCGCTCGTGCTGCCGCTGGGGGTACCGGTGCCGTCCTTGCTGGTTCTGGAGGCGTTGAGCGGCCGAGGCCGTACTTCGTTCTGCTCCTGGAGCAGGTTCTTGGTCTCCCGCCCTCTCTTGGTCCTGCTCCTCCCTTAGAGTGTTTACAGCCTGTCCAGTCGCAGTTACAGTTACAGCCCGCCTCCCCTTTACTTGCTCCTTCCCCTTACACTGGTCCTACTGGAGGTTTTGCTGAGCGTCGTGAGCCAGCGTCTTGTCCTGCGTCACCTGTTCGTGCTACTCGCACTAGTCGTCGTGCTCCGCGTCCGCGTCCTCCTGCGGTCCCCGGCATACACCAGATGTCACTGCGTCCTTCCACTGCTCCTCTGCGTTTCCCGTTGCTGTCTCCTCCAGAGTCTTCTCTTCCACACTTGCTGACCCGGAGTCTGACTCCCTTCGTGCTGCTAGTCCTTCGGTCACGCGCCTCCTTGCTACTGTTTTCACTAACCTTGGAGTCCACTGCTGCGTCTGCCCTAGTTGCTGAGTGTTTGTGCAACCCTACGGTTTGCACTCGGCTTGTTGTCCGTGTGAGTGCATGTGTGTGTGTGTGTATGGAATGGTATGAGGGCATGGGATAATATATATTTCATGCTTATAATTGTGTGTGAATGTTGAGTCATGATGTCGAGTGTGTGTGTCGACTCAATAGCGAGATATCGCTAGACGCGTGTTATGCGGTCGTTTGTGTCTCGCGCGCGGTTTCTATTTTGTCCTGTCTCGAACGTTCGGCGTGTCGCAGGTGTGTGCAGAAGACCCATCAAGAACTCAAGGATGAGTTTGTGATGAAGAGCCTGAGCCTTTGTGTCAAGCCTCGAGTGATTTCGAAGCTCGCCAAAAGGGTGCACCTCAAGATATTGAAGATAGTTACATTACTTTGTGTAGTGTAACATTTCACTTGGTGTAGGCCCTAGTGACCCTTCGTGGTTGGGGATAGTGTGGCACTGTTCCACATCACTGTACCTCGGCTCTTGGGGTTTGTAGGAGCTGGGAGTCATTCCCAACTCGTAACTCTTCCTAACTCTTCCTATCTTGTGTTGTAAGACTATGTTGCTGCCATAGTGCCGTTCGTTCAAACCGACGCTGTGTCGTCAGTCCTTAATGAAAGCGTGCGATTTAAATTGCCTATTGTAGGCAACATCAAGGCGCTTCAGATCCAAGTTGAATGAAGTCATTTAGAGTTGTGAGCAGATCGCTATGAACGTTTGAAGCCGCTGTGCAGAAATCCGACTATGCACTCTATCTTTCGTTTTAGGCACATTGGAGCCTACTGTGACTATAACAAGTGGTATCAGAGCCCCTTGGAGCAGTTTCGACAATGGCTGGACCTGAGGAAAGGGGTGGCAGAGGTGCTGGTGGCAGAGGAGAAGCCCAAGCTCAAGGCCAACCCCGTGATTCAACCACGGCGCCCGTGCAACCAAGTGTTGGCCCATCTAGAGATGAGCCTAGAGTGTTTGGCCTTGACAAGTTCAATGGTGACAACTTTGTTGAGTGGTCCTTCAGAATGGAGAACATATTTGACCACTATGACCTGCTTGAGGTAATGGAAGGAACGGAGAAGCGTCCCGAGAACGACCCGGAGAAGAGCCCGTGGGTGCGGAAGAGCGCACAAGGCTACCTCCTACTTGGGCAAGCGTTGGGGAGCAGCCAAATCCGTCACATCAAGCCTTTCCAGCATGAACCAGAGAAGGGACCAAAGGCATGGGCTGCTCTCAAGGGTGTACACGCTCCTGCAACAGCGGCGGTAGCTGTGGTGTTGGAACGGCAAATGGCGACGTTACGAATTGAAGAGGATGAAGCGGTGGAAGAAGGGGTGCAGAAATTCTTCGACTTGTTGACGCGGCTTGAGGGAGCGGATTTGAACTATAGTGAGCTCCAAAAGAAGACCAAGTTGCTGTCCGTACTCCCTGAATCATGGTCCTCACTCATCATCAACCTGAATCGCGACTTGCGCTGCCTCTCGCTCGAAGATGTGAAGCGAGCTATCCTTCAAGAGGATTTCTGCCGCCGTGAGTTGGCGAGTGCGGATGGCGCTGGGGCAGCGAGCATCGGCCGTGGATATGGTCGAGGAAGAGGCAGAGGACGAGGGGGAGGAAGGTTTGGTGGCAGCAACTTCGGCGTAGGCCGCGGGAGTGGCGGTTATGGCAGCGACGACAAGTGCTACGGGCGCGGTCGCGGCCGATTCGACGGCGAATGCCATTATTGCCACGAGAGCGGACATATGTGGCGTGATTGCTTCAAGCTCCCTGATGGTTGGACCCCTGCTCAAGTCCAGGAGGGTAGAGGAGCAGGAGGAGGGAGAGGAAGAGGCCGTGGAGGCCGTGGCGGTCGCGGTGGCGGAGCTGCAAACATGACGAGCGGAGACAATGACAAGGACCCGAGCAACGATCGGTACCCGGATCTATTCTACTTCGTGTCGACGCAAGTACCGACTGGTCCAGAGAAGGATGAAGGCTTTGAGGAGCCAGCAGCTGTGGGGAAGGTGACCCTACACCCTCTGGACTATTGGGTGATCGATAGTGGCGCTACCTATAGCATGACACCTCGCCCGGACTTGCTCACTGAACTCGAACCGTCACCGGTGAAGCATGTCACATCGGCTTTGGGGCAGCGAGCGGAGGTGAAAGGCATGGGCAAGGCCATGTTCAAGGGTGCTGATGGGAAGATGGTGGGCCTCAAGAATGTGCTTTGGGTGCCCAGCCTTGCTGCCAACCTGATTTCCGTGCGGCGGTTGGCAAAGGCCGGCATGGACACGAACTCGAAGGGAGCCAAGACCTACACCGCAAGGCTTGGCGATCGGATTCTTTGGGACCTTCATGAGGACAGAGATGTCTACAAAGAGATGTGGCGGATCCCTGTGGTCCCAATGCCTAAGGAGAGGCAAGTGGCAGCAAGCGTCAGCACCAAAGGTGGAGCGATTGTTAGCGGCGATTGCGCGGACGGTCGCGCTAAGGAGAAGGAGCCCAAGAAGTGCAAACTTGGAGGGACCAGCAAGCTTGATGAACCTACGGAGAGAGGTGCAGCAGCCAAGGAGCAGCAAAAGGGTGAGAAGAACCCCGAGGCAGCTGCGGAGGAGGACTACAGAGAGAGTATGTGGGGCGCTATTGCGAGCGCGGCATTCTCCAATCCAACTTCGGCTACGGGGGAGTGTGATTGGCTCACCTTGCATCGGCGCATGGGGCATGTGGCCCTGCCCATCTTGCAGCAGCTAGTAAAGAATGAGATGGTTGCTGGCATACGTGTGAAGGGGGAGCCCAATGAGGTACTTGGCTGCCCGACGTGCATGCAAGCCAAGTTCACCCGATTCCCGTTCTCTAGTTCGGAGGCGACGGCTAAGGCACCGCTTGATGAGGTGGTGATGGACGTGGTGGGCCCCCTGAAGCTTGGAGCTGCTGGAGCTGAGTATTTTCTTACCATTGTCGACATCTACACCTGCATGACTTGGGTGTATGTGCTGGCCAAGAAGAGCGACGTGGCTGAAACGTTGAAGACGGATTGGTTCCCGATGGTGGAGCGGCAACAAGACCGTCTAGTCAAGTCAATCCGCACCGATCAAGGGGGAGAGTTCCTGAGCAAGGAGTTTGGGTTGTGGCTGAAGAAGAATGGTATTCGGCACTCCCTCACCATGCCATACTCCCCTGCAATGAACGGCATCGCCGAGCGAGCGAACCGCACAATCACGGAGGCGGCACGCGGGTTGCTCATTGAAGCCGGGCTACCCGACTATTTCTGGCCTGATGCGGTGCGGAGCGCGTGTGTGGCCAAGAACAGAGCCTTGACTCATGTGGGAGCAGACAAATGGGTGCCTTATGTGGAGTGGCTAGGAAGGAAGCCAAAGGTGGATATGCTTCGGGTGTTCGGGTGCATGTGCATGGCGCTCGTGCCTAAGCATCTTCGACACAACAAGCTTGGTGCCAAGGCGGTGTGGGCCGTGCACTTGGGCATGGCTCAAAACAGCAAGGGATGGCTTCTTTGGGACCCATTCACCAAGAAGTTCTTGGTGAGCAGGGACTGCAAGTTCATGGAGAACTTCATGTACAAGGATTGGAAGGCGGAGAATGAGGCGAAGATAAGCGTGCGGTTTGGGGAAGCGAAGAGTTCCGGTTTGGAGCATGTGGAGCTGCCTTTGGAGCTGAGCAGCGGCAGCACAACCACGAGGCAATCCTCCCTTGTGAATGGGGGAGAGGAGGCCAATGATGCAGATGAAGAAGAGGAGGAGGTGCAGCAAGTGAGCGAGCGTGCACCGACACTCCCTTCCCGTACTATGAGTGCTCCACGGATTCGAGCCACACCGCAGCAACACCAAGGCCTTCAAGTCCCTGCAGCTGAGGAGGAAGGAAGGGGGAAGAGGAGAGTTCAACCCCCTAATAGGCTGACTTATGATGCACTGGGAAAGCAGGGCAAGACAGCCCTGGCCGGAGCGGCAATGATGGTCGGAGACGACGAGGAGAGTGACTACGAGGAGTGTGCCTTCGCGTTCTTCTCTCCGGTGGAGATGCCGGGAGAACCAGCAACTCTCAAGGAGGCTTTGGAGAGTAGTGATGCTGAGGAGTGGAAGAAGGCCATGGAGAGTGAGCTGAAGAGAATGACACATTTGAATTGGTGGAGCTACCGGAGGGGCGTACGGCGATAACGTCCAAGTGGCTCTTCAAAATCAAGTCGGATGCCGACGGCAAGATCGAGCGCTACAAGTCTAGGCTTGTATTTAAGGGGTACCAGCAGAAAGAGAAGGTGGAATTCAAGGAGCGGTTTGCCCCTGTGGTGAAGCCGACGACGCTGCGAACCCTATTCGCGGGAGCCGCCATCAAAGGATGGGTAGTAAAACAAATGGACATCGTACCGACATTCCTTAACGGCATCCTTGAGGAGGAGATCTTTATGGCATAGCCAGAGGGGTTTGATGATGGTAGTGGCAGAGTGTGGACGCTGAAGAAGGCCCTCTATGGGCTGAAGCAGGCCCCTAGGCAATGGTACATGAAGCTGCGCGAAGTGTTGGAGGAGATCGGCTTCACTCCCTCAACGGCCGATCACTCCTTGTTCATGCTTGGCGAGGGGGAGCAGAGGAGCTTCATGGTGGATTATGTGGATGACATTCTCATATTCTCACCCTCCTCCGACCTTGTGAAGGAGGTGATGCTGAAGCTGCATGACAAGTTCAAGTGCAAGTCCCTTGGTGACGTGAACTTCTACCTTGGGCTCCACATCGAA